GTCACTTTGGCCCTATTTTCAGCCTCCTCGGGTTGTCTTGGCTCTCGGCCCTTCTTGTCGTCGGGGGTCAAAACCCACTTACGCATCAATGGGGCCGTCGCGATGCGATGCTCCACCGCCTCCTGGCCTATGTCCAGTCGCAATGGTCATCACAACACGACGGCAGCGCGACGCCCGCCCTATTGCTCGGCTCAGGCCTTCTGTTTGGATCTTTTGCATGTGGGCTTGTCGCGGCTGGGCCTGTTGGGCCGATCGCGCCTTTTAGGCCTGTCGTGGTCGAGCCTATTGTACGTATCTCTTTGATACGAGCACGTCGAACTCGATTATACGTGCTCGTGAAAAGCCGACTTCGTCCACATCACGTCCCGACACGCGCACGGCAAATTACAGTCTATTTATATCTCCTAAATTAAAAATAAAAAACACGTGTACATAGTACTAAATACACATTCGAGTTGTGATTTATCAATGGGGATTAAAGGACAACAAATTACAAAAGAACCATTTTGTTATTTTTTTCCTTCCATTCCATGCTTGGTCGTTGATGTCTATGCTAGATCCACTCGCTTTTGGGTACATTAATACGAGTCAATGTACCTGGACACCATCTTCACATGAGATGCTAACACCTTATAACATCCTCAAACCCTTCCATTTTCCCCAAATCCCTTCTGCAAGCAGAGTCCGCCGTGCTCTGACTTCGAGGATCCCGGCAATCATGGCTTCCGAGTCATCCGCCGCCGCGGCCGTAACTCGGCCTCAGCCCATTTCCACTCAGAGCGGCGCTCCTCAGCCGGTCCAGGTTAGCTTATTTATCTCTCTCTTTGTTTCAGTTATGTTATTTTGATTCTTTCTGGAGATTTGAGGTGGATGAATTTTGGTACTATGCAAGAATTTCATTTTTTTTTAGGGCCAAATTTCTAGGAGTTGGGGTTTAAACTTGGACTTTGATAACGGGAGTACATGGAATTTTGAGTTCATTTGTGTTTAGAATGTCTTGAACACTCTGTGGTTCTTTTGTGGATGAGTTGAATTTTGGGGTTAGAGGTTATGTGATTCAGTGATTTTTGGCTTGTGAATTGTGAAAAGATTAGACTTTTTTCTTTTGTTACTTATATTACACTGTAAATCAATAGATTATCTCGCATAGCATCCCACTATAGTGCCGGGTTTAAAATGCTATGTTGCTATCTTGGATTAATGCTCACATACAGTACATAGATTTTACTCAGATCGATTTTGCGAAAGCTTTTTCGGTCGCAATTTCTTTACTATAAGTTCATTCGCTGATTCCTTAAAATGTTGAATGACGCTTGATCCGAGTCGAAAGGCATGGAATCACAGCTCATCTTGGCCTACCCTAATGTGGGTTTATATGTGAAGAAGTTCACTTTCACTGTTTCACAGCTAAACAGATATATGTTGAGAACTATCGAACAATGCCACTATTTATTACATCAATGCATAACCGAAGTACATCTAATCCCTTACTCCCTTCGTTTCGAAACAAATGTCGTTCCAGAGAAAATGGAATATCTAAGAATTGAATCCAAATATCCCTGAATCATATTGTGATATTTTTAGCATAATAACTACTCTCTCTCTCTCTCTCTCTCTCTCTCTCTCTCTCTCTCTCTCTCTCTTCCTCTTCCTCTCTCTCTTTTTCTGTTACTGTCACGATGTTCATTAGATCTCCATACATCACATTCTCATATCCTCCCTAATTATAATGGCTAAAATTGAAAGAATACGAAAAATGTCAAGTAATCAGCAAAAAACATAAGGCTCTGTCGAACGACATATATCTTGAAATAGAGGGAGTATAGTATAACTTGGTCATTTGCAGAATACTAATCAAATTAATCTCAATTCCTTTCTAGGTTGCAAAGCGGCTAGAAAAGTTCAAAACGACAATCTTCACCCAAATGAGCAGCCTAGCCATCAAGCACAATGCCATCAATCTTGGGCAGGGATTCCCCAATTTCGACGGCCCGGATTTCGTCAAGGAGGCCGCCATCCAAGCCATCCGGGACGGCAAAAACCAGTACGCTCGAGGCTGTGGAGTCCCCGACCTGAACCTAGCCATTGCCAACCGTTTCAAGAAAGACTCAGGCCTCTCGGTTGACCCCGAGAAGGAGGTCACGGTCACCTCCGGCTGCACGGAGGCAATTGCCGCCACAATCCTCGGGTTAATAAACCCTGGGGACGAAGTCGTCCTTTTCGCCCCCTTCTACGACTCGTACGAGGCCACACTATCCATGGCCGGCGCCCAAATAAAACCAATCACCCTAAAACCCCCAAACTTCTCCCTCCCGATCGACGAGTTAAAATCGACCGTTTCGAACAAAACGCGCGCGATCCTAATGAACACCCCCCACAACCCGACAGGCAAAATGTTCACGCGCGAGGAGCTCGACGAGATCTCGTCCCTCTGCATCGAGCACGACGTGCTCGTTTTCTCGGACGAGGTTTACGACAAGTTGGCTTTCGAGATGGATCACGTCTCGATCGCGTCACTCCCCGGGATGTACGAGCGGACGGTGACCATGAACTCTCTAGGGAAGACTTTCTCGTTAACGGGCTGGAAGATCGGGTGGGCCGTAGCCCCGGCCCATTTGACATGGGGAGTGAGGCAGGCCCATTCTTACATGACCTTCGCAACCTCGACACCTATGCAGCATGCTGCAGCTGCGGCCCTAAATGCCCCCGACTCATATTACGATGAGCTGAGGAGGGATTACTTGGCGAAGAAGGAGATTCTGGTGGAGGGATTAAAGGGAGTGGGTTTTGAGGTATACCCGTCGAGCGGGACATACTTTGTGGTGGTGGACCACACGCCGTTTGGGCTGGAGGATGACGTGGCGTTCTGTGAGTACTTGATCAAGGAGGTTGGGGTTGTGGCTATACCCACGAGCGTGTTCTATTTGGATCCCGAGGAAGGGAAGAATCTGGTGAGGTTCACCTTTTGTAAGGATGAAGGGACACTCAGGGCTGCGGTCGAGAGGATGAAGGCCAAGCTGGTGGTGAAGAAATGAATGGATGGTGGTTTCGTGCTGTGGTTTGTCGGGTAATTTTTTCTTTATGCATTTGCTTGGTGAAAATTGATGGATTACAACAGTTCAAGATTCTTGTTGAAACGAGTCGAGACTATATTCTGTTTGCCCATTCCACTGTTCTGAGAGTTACTCGGAGCTTTCGGTTTCGTAATTTCCCGGTTACTTCGTGTTTGGTATGTAACGTAAGCTAGCTTATGACATTATTTAGAGGGGTTATGAGCTTCTTGTATTCAAAACAGTTAGGCAGAGTTTTTTAATAAGTTGGAGCTCGTCTGGATTTGTGATGCTTTAAATTAAAAGCATCTTTGTTTGATATCTTCAGTTCTGTTTGGGCAGTGTGTACATTAAGCTAAGCAATACCTTAAACCTAATACAAACACTAGTAAGTGACAGTGCAATTGTATGACACTTAGGTTGTGGCAGTTGGACCAAATTTATTGGTACAATCCGAAATAACAGAAA